CCTAGACCCTTCTTCTGAAGAAGGGTCTAGGCCCAAAACGTCAGCCTTCCTGCTCCTCTGATGCTGCTTGGCCTGCTGTGTTCATCCAGCTCTACACCTTGTTATCTCAGATTCTCCAACATCTGCAGTTCCTACTATCTCTGACATTGAGGGAACCTAGTTTTCTACCTTACTTCAGTACAAGAAAGAGCCATTATCCATTACTTTCTGTTTCTTTTTATGCAGCCAACTTTGTTTCCCTGCTTTCAATATCACTTTTGTCCATTAGCTAAAACTTGGGCACTTTTTCAAATGCTTTTTGGAAGCCCATGTTGAGACACAGATGCAGCAAGCTTTTAGGAAGACTAATTGAATGTTACCCTTTATTGCAAAAGGATGAGAGAACAGAAGTAGCTTCAGTTGTGTGGGAGCTTGGGTAGACCACAAGACCACATCTTCGGTAGTATGTGCAGTTTTGATCTCCTTACCTAAAGAAAGATATTATTAGCATAGATGGAATGCAGCATCAGAGGTTCATCAGATTGGTTTTAGGGATTGTGGGATGAAGAAAATTTGGGCGAACCAGAATTGTAATCTTTGGTGATTTGAAAAATTAGAGCTGATCTCATTGAAATCTACAAAGCACTTAAGGGGTCAGACAGGATAGACTTTTGCAAAGTCTAGAATATTGTTTTATTTTAGAAAGATGCTAAGATGCATTGTGTATGTAATTTGACGATGGTTATGTTGTTTATTTTGAAGATTCTCCTACCTACAAATTATATTACATAAGAATATAGCAAATACATTGCATCGTAGTTTAAGTTCTATATCAATCTTTTCAATAGATGTTGTAATATGTTCCCTGTTAGAGAAATAACCTGTTTATATGGTATTGTTACAGAATCTCTTCAGTTAGCGTTGGAAGAGTACAAAGAGAAAAATACCAAGATGAAACAAATCCTAGTGAAAACTAAGAAGGAACTTACAGATTCAAAGAGAGCTGTGAGTAACATGAATAAGTCCAAAATTATCTTAATCACTGCAAAAAGATTTTGAATACAGATATTTAATGTTATAAAAATGTATACATAATTGAGTACAATGTGTGAATGGCATATTTGTTTCCTGTCAGTCACAGTTCAGGAAACGGCTCCTACCTCTGTAATGAGGCCTAATTATAACAAAATGTCTGCTGAGATTTAGAATGTCTACAGTTCCAAGGGGATTCTTTCTTTAATATTGATGGTTGTTGTTGTTGTTTAAATCGGGTGTTTGAAAGAAATCAACACCAGTCTTGCAGAAGAGGGGGGAAGGTAACAGATAAGCAAAGGAGAATTCAAACAATCTCCAACCAAAACACTGAAAAGAACTAAACGAAAAAAATGGCAATAAACAAATGTTTTGCATGTTCAATTAAACCATAATTCCAAAATACTAGAATATGTTCAAGTTGTCCACTTATTCTGCATCAGCAGTTTCCCTTTGTGTAAAAAATTTTTTAAAACCTGAGCACGTTGTGGGGACGAGTTGATAGAAAGAGTTTTCCACTGAATTTTTGCAATCAATGAAATAATGCCAAATATTATGCAAACTTTATTAGGTACTTACTACTTGGAATATAATTTATCTCCTAACCTTGACCAGTGTGTTGTCTGGCAGACAGCAATAGAATTGACTTGATATTATGTTTTCAGGAAGGAGAGCAATTAGCTGTCCAAGCTTTTATTAAGGGAGAACTCGAAGCAAACCAGCAGCAAGTGGAAAATTACAAGGTACCTTTAATTTGTGATTTTCAATTAAATTGTTTGAAATGCATTCTTTGGAAAAAAAAAGTTTGTGATGAATAGTAACTAGTTTGACCTTGTTTATCAACTGTTTGCATTTTGTATAGTTGAAATAGTTGATCTATTTCAGGTCTCATCAAGGACTCGGGAAATGTGAATAACTTTGAACTGCTGTGCACTGAGATTTGTACAGTTCTTTTTGTTAGTGTTAGATATAAAGGCCATTCCTTGTTTTTAATTTTTTTTAATTATACAGCACCAAACGAATAATCCAGAGAATTGCTACGTTATAACAGAGCTGTTATGGCTAAAAGCCTTGGAAGAAGAATATAGTAAAATACCTATCTAGATGTGTAATAAAGGAAGTTGGCATGGAATTATGGGAGGAAGCCTTGCCCAGCAGTTAATTTGGCATTCATAAAGAAGCCTTGCTGACAGTTTTTTGGATACCTTGTCTTTAAATTTTAACAAATGCTTTACTACATTGCAATACATGCTATTACTTTACAAGGCACGAAACAGAAGTTGCATATAATTTGAATTGGATTAAAAATTTGCTAAAGAAAGCAAAAGGTGATTGTGCATAGAGCTACTTTTTTTTGGTTCATTCATAGGATGTGGGGTCCCCAACATTTATTGCCCATTTCTAGTTGCCCTTAAGGTCATAGTGAGCTGCCTTCTTGAACCGTTGTGGTCCATTGTTAATAGGATTTACCCATAGTGCTATGAGGCGTAGGGTGGATGTTTCAGGATCTTGTCTTTGTGATGCTGAAGGAACAGCGATTTATTTCCAAGTCAGAATGATGAAAGAGTCGTAGGGGAGTATGCAGATGATGGTGTTCCCATGTATCTGCTGCCCTGGTCTGGATGGAAATGGTTGCAGGTAGGAAGGTGCTGTCTAGGAAGCCTTGGTGAATTTCAATAGTGCATCTTGTAGGTGGTACACACTGCTGCTACTGAGCATCAGCGCTGGAGGCAGTGAAGATTTGTGGACGTGCTGCTAATCAAGTGAGCTACCTTGTCCTGGATGGTGTCACACTCTTAATTTGTGCCTTGCAGGTGGTGGACAGGCTTTGGAGAGTCAGGAGGTGAGTTAGTCACTGCAAGCTTCCAAGCATCTGACATGTCCTTTGCTACAGTATTGTTGTGACTAGTCCAGTCCATTTTCTGATCAGTGATAACCACCTGGATGCTGATGGTGGGAATTCAGCAATGATAATACCATTTAATATCCCAGGATGATGATGATTAGATTCTCTCTTGTGGGAGATCTCTTTGCCTGGCTTTTGTGGTCCAAATGTTACAAAGAAGAAATAGCATTTTGTTTTCTTTGGGGAAACACTGGGTTAAAATCTAGCTGATAATGAGAAATCATCCAGAACATGGTGGTATTTTGTCATTGTTCAATGTGATTTGATCTGAATTCCAAAACCCATACAGGAGTAGAGATCCATTATTCTAACCAACCAATCATTACTGCAGTATTTTCTCCTTCACTGTTTGTACAGATTTTGTTAATTGCCATTACTACATTGGCCAACTGTGTCAGCATGCTGTTTGTGAGCACAACAAAGTGGTGTTTACTTAAAACTGGGTAGGATGGTGAGGGATGCTTTTGAGTTTTTATTGGGTAGCTGATGGGCTCCTCACCATATCTCTGATACCTTTGCGACCTGTCTGTGCATTCAGGAGGCAAGGTCTCTTTGTGGACTGAAATGCCAAGTGCAGTGTTCTTACAAGGACCTGTCTGAAAAATCTTGGTGATCTCCAATCCGACTTTGGGCCTCCTGGATGGTTACTGCTTCGGGGCCTCCTGCAGTTTTAGCAGTGGCCACTGCTCATGTGACAGTAATAGGAAGAACCACCAGCCCTCTGACACATCCAATGTTAAAGGGGCTGAAGCCATCATTGCAAGAAATCATAAAATATGGTCATAGCTTTGAATGTCAACAGAGGTAGTGTTATCACTGACACTCTGGACGGTGGGCCGGGACACAGCCACTGCTCAAATCCAGGTTTGTGTTCAAATCATAAAAGGGTCAATTGAGTGTTTAAATTCAATTTTTAAAGAATGAAAAGTTATAAATAGAGAACAGTATCAGTAAAATTAGCTACGAAACTGTTAGATTGATTCTTTTCAAGAATGTTCCTAGGGGAAGTAACAAAATTGCCACTTATTGTTGTTGATTAAGCAGTTGTTTAAATATAGCAAAATTTTAAGTGGGAGATCAGCCAGGAATGCTTTGAAATAGTCGGACTTGGATGTAACAAATGTATTAGCAGCGTTTCAGCAGCAGGTGAGCTGAGACTGGGGACAAAGGTGATATTATGGAAATGGAAATAGGTGGTCTCGATGATGACAGGATTGAGGTTGTCTGAATATCTCTGGATCAAATGTGATACCCAATCCTGTGAATAGACTGGCTTAATTGCAGATTGTTGACCTGAGAGTGGGATGGTGTCAATAATTAGGGAACAGAGTTTGGAGCAGGAATGAAAACAATGATTTTTATCTGTTGAATATTTAGCAGAAATGTTTGCTCATCCAGTGTTGGATATTGGATGAGCAGTCAAATAATTTAGCAACAGTGGAGGAGTGAAAGAGGTGATGTCGAGATTGTGTTGGGCATCTGCATAGATGAAAATCAAAGCTGTACCTTCAGATATTGCCATCAAGAGGCAGCATCTAGTTGATAAACAGGAAGGGGCCAAAGATAGATCATCTTTGGTGGGGTGAAGTCAGGGGAACAGTGCAGGAGCAAGAAGAGAAAATTGTAACTAATTCCCTTGCTAAGTTTTGTTAAGTAAGAATGGAGCCAGGTGAGAGCAGGTCTACTCAGTTGATGATAGTGAAGAACCTTTGCAGGAGGATGGTGTGGTTAACTGTATCAAAAGCTATAGACAGGTAAAGAATAAAAAGGAGGGAAAGTTTACCTTTGTGTAGGATTTCATTGTAACTTTAATGAGAGTTGTTTCAGTGTTGTGGCAAGGATGAAAACCTGATTGTATAGATTCATACATGGAGTTCCTGGAAAGGTGGGATTAGATGTGGAAGGCGACAATGCACTTGAGTATTTTGGACAGCAATAAGACTTTGGAATTGGGATAGTAGTTTGCAAAGGGGTAGGGCCAAAGCTTTTTTTTTTATCAGAAAACCTGTCATAGCCCAGATTGACCTGCATATGAATTCATTATACAACATTGAACCAACTCTCAAATAACAATACAACCAATTCTTAACTGTTCTGTATGGGAACCATGCAAACCAATGTATTGTAGCTAATCGAGAAGGGCAACCCCCTGAGGGAAACCAGGGATGAAAAATAAATACTACCTCACCAATAAGATCTCATAACAAGGGAATTACCATGCAAGTGGCATTTCAACAAAATACAGTATACTTTCATCCATTATCCATGGTTATGCAGTCTTAGTAGGCATCACTAAATAGGAGTGAAAATTCTTCATCGTTTTACTCTTTTCCCATACTCCAGAAGATACCAGCAAACTCTTCACTTTCCAGGGACTGATTCTGTAAAGTCAGTCCAACAATAAAACTCTAATCTTTAGGATAACGTAATTCTTTCCAAAACCCATAAAAAATGTTCCTCTGTGCGCTTGTAATTCAAAATACCAAAGCAGTAGTGGTAGTAAAATATAAAGATGGATTTTTGGAGAATCCATAATTGAGAAATTATTATTAAATGTTGCAGATTCAAGTGGCAGAGTTAATCGCTGAAAACCACAAGCTTCAGGAACAATTGCGCCAGACAAATGAGCAGAATCATCGGACAGTGAATGCATTTACACAGAAGATGGCAGCTCTTCAGGAGGAGTGTAATGTTGCAAAGGTATAATATGAAGTGTGTCAGGGGTACACTGAACAGATTAAAAACACAATCTTTGTTGAATTGTAGAATAAATTTAGATGTTTCTTTGCAGAAATCAAGTGACTACAATTTTGATTTGAAAAACAAATACAGTTTCTTTTCTGCCTGTGGCATACATAATCAGTAACCATAGCCATTGGTACTTTCTCAGCCTCTCATTTGCCTGTAGTTACTATGGAAGATTGTTTGACGCAAAATCTAAGTTGTAAAGATCAGTTGATTTTCATTAATTTTTAGCACCGTAGCTGTCAAACTTTCTGAAGTTAATGCGCTGAGATTTTCAATTTGGTTACTGAGAATTGGGAAAAAGACGACTTATGAAAAGGTGTAAATATTTTTAGGAAAATTAATCAATGCAAAGTGAATAATTCTTGTTGAAGACACTGTCCCGGGTTTTCGCCGTGACAGAAGGGTTTTCATAAACGTGAAAATATCAAAAATGCCCACAAATCAAAGTTTCACCCTGCATATTTCATTTCTGATTTTCATGGAGACCAGTTTGTAGGTGTCCCAGGCTTCTCTCATGTGGTTCCTGAGACCGCTGTCAATTTAGATGACCAACTGTCCCTATCTAAGTGGGACTTTATATTCAATATCTGGAGCCCCAGAGCAGACCAGATCATTTGCTGGTGGGGCCGGACTTGAAGAGACTATGCCAAATGCATGGGGTGGGAGTTACCTTTGGTATTCTATGGGATTGCGAAAAGTAAGCAACAATGTGCACAAACCCACTGAGGCTGTTAAAACTATCAAAATAACTGTCAAGCTGTCAAAATTATCAAACAACTTAGAATGCAAATGTTTTATATTGATGAGACATTAAAAGTCCTTCAACTAAAACCAATGTATTCAATGATTTTTTTAAAATCATGCTTTATTATATCATCATGTCTTCAATAGATGCACTACTTTATCTACTGTCAGTATGACTCCTGATGTTACGCCATGTTGAGTACTTGGTTCATTGACATGGAGGGGGTATGGCAAAGGGTGATGGGTAGAGGGGTATGAATCCCTACCAAGTAGGGTGGTTGATATGGGGTAAAGATTAACATAAAGGGTTAGGGTGGTGGGTGGAAGTTTTATAGAGAGTATGAAAGGCCATGTAAGTCACCAAAATTTAATTAATCTTCATCAGAAGAAAAGGAGAAAAATAATAAGGATTATATCTGATGCGCTCTTAAAATTACCGTTGGTATACTTCCACCAGAGTGATTTCATGTTGCTTTTACAGGCTGAACAGGCTGCAACTGCTGTGGATTTTGAAAGTTACAAAGTTCGTGTACATAATGTCCTAAAACAACAAAAGAGCCGATCAGCTGCTCAGAATGAACATGAGTTGACCCAGGAAGAAAAGTGAGTTACAGAGCTTTAGAAAATGTCCCTCAGTACAACCTCTCTTACTGCTATATTTTTGTGACTTATAAAACTTACTCTTGAAGTTTTCTCATGATTTCACACTTATTTAAAATTAATGGTTTATAGGAGGATCAGAAAACTATCAAGTACTGTGTTCAGTTTATGGCTTAACTAGGTAAACTAATTACTACGGGTAAACAGTAACAAGGTATTAACTGGATCCTTACGCAGGAATTTTTCTCTTATGGATGGTGATGAGACCTGTTTCTTGCAACTCCTATACCTTGTGGGAATTTCTGGATGCTTGATAGATTTCTGGGCTGAGGGTGAGGAGTCAAGTACGTCCAAAGTGTCTGTATCATTTGAGCTCTAGTCATTGTAGACATTGGAAAGGATGTGGATTTCCTGGATCATGTATTCCAAGAGTAGGTCACCCCATAAGTATCAATGTTCAGGGTAGTAGATGGGTGGCTACCTGAAAAGTAAGAGGCAGGAAGTGCAGATACTTTTACATATGTGTTGCTGTCAAACCAGTTCTCAGCTTTGGAGATGTCGGAGACAACACTGAAGGAGTGTAGTCCTGATCCTAATAGCACTGGTAAAGAAATACACAGGAGGAAACAGGAAAGTGTAGAAAATTCATATTTCATTGACAGACAGGCATTTGTGCAGCATCTGTCATGACTCCCAAAGTTGTCTAGTCTCTATGATGCCAAAGTAAAGGATGTCATGAAGAGGGTACAGAGTATTCTACAAAGGGAGAAGGGAGTGTTTCAGAAATTGTGATAACATTGGATACCCATGGTATAGAAAAAACAGGTATTAAGATTCCACAACCAGTACATCAGATCTAAGCTCTGCTGTCCTGCTGGTTGTGAGTCAAGATGGACAATTAATCAACTCAAATGTCCTCATTCTGCATAACGGGGGAGGCCACAGATCGGTGCAGACATCAGCCAGAAATGCCAAGCAGATGATCCATCTAAGCCTCCTAATGTGTTCCCAGCTTCACAAATGCCAGCCTACAGTCAGTTTGATTCATTTGATATCCCATCAAGAAATGGCTGAAAACTCTGGATATTGCATGAGCTGTGATTTTTGATAACATTCTGGCAATTATACTTAAAAACTTGTGGTCCAGAACTAGCTGAGCTCCTAGCCAAGTTGTTACAGTACGATCAACACTGGCCTCTATCTGACAATGTGGAAAAATTTCTGGGTATCTGTCCTCAAAAAGCAGGACAAATCCAATGTAGCCAATTAACGCTCGCCAGTCTTTACACAATTATCAGCCAAGTGATAGAAGGTTACAGTGCTACAAAGGGTACTTGCTCTAAAATAATCTGTTCATTGATGCTCACTTTGGGTTCCACCAGGGCCACTCAGCTCCAGACCTCTTTAAGCCTTAGTCAATACATGCCCAACAGAGTTGAAGTTGAAAGGAAAATCAGGTGAGACTGCCCTTGACATCAAGATCCTAAGCAAAGTTGAGTTGATGAGAATAAGGGAAAAAACTCCCTGCTATAACAAGGTGTAGAGCTGGATGAACACAGCAGGCCGAGGAGCAGGAAGGCTGACTTTTCGGGCCTAGACCCTTCTTCAGAAATGGGGGAGGGGAAGGGGCTTCTGAAATAAATAGGGAGAGAGGGGGAGGCGGAAAGAAGATGGATAGAGGAGAAGATAGGTGGAGAGGAGATAGACAGGTCAAAGAGGCGGGGTTGGAGCCGGTAAAGGTGAGTGTAGGTGGGGGGGTAGGCAGGAGATAGGTCAGTCCAGGGGGCAGGATGAGGTTAGTAGGTAGGAGATGGGGGTGGGGCTTGAAGTGGAAGGAGGGGATAGATGGGAGGAAGGACCGGTTAGGGAGGCGGGGACAAGCTGGGTTGGTTTTTGGGATGCGGTAGTGGGAGAGGAGATTTTGAAGCTTGTGAAGTCCACATTGATACCATTGGGCTGCAGGGTTCCCAAGCGGAATATGAGTTGCTGATCCTGCAACCTTCGGGTAGCATAGTTGTGGCACTGCAGGAGGCCCAGGATGGACATGTCGTCTGAGGAATGGGAGGGGGAGTTGAAATGGTTCACGACTGGGAGGTGCAGTTGTTTAGTGCGAACCGAGTGTAGGTGTTCCGCAAAGCGGTCCCCAAGCCTCCGCTTGGTTTCCTCGATGTAGAGGAGGCCAGAACGGGAACAGCGGATGCAGTATACCACATTAGCAGATGTGCAGGTGAACATCTGCTTTATGTGGAAAGTCGTCTTGGGGCCTGGGATGGGGATGAGTGGGGAGGTGTAGGGGCAGGTGTAGCACTTCCTGCGGTTGCAGGGAAAAGTGCTGGATGTGGTGGGGCTGGAGGGGAGTGTGGAGCGGACAAGGGAGTCGCGGAGAGAGTGGTCCCTCCTGAAAGCAGGTAAGGGTGGGGAGGGAAAAATGCCTTCGGTGGTAGAAGTGTTGGAGGATGATGCGTTGGATCCGGAGGTTGGTGGGGTGGTACTTGAGGACAAGGGGGATTCTGTTTTGGTTGTTATTGCGGGGAGGGGGCGTGCGGGATGAGTTGTGGGAAATGCGGGAGACACGGTCAAGGGCATTCTTGACCATTGAGGGGGGGAAGTTGCAGTCCTTGAAAAACGAGGACATCTGAGATGTACGGGAGTGGAATGCCTCATCCTGGGAACAGATGCAGCGGAGGCGAAGGAATTGGCAATAGGGGATGGCATTTTTGCAGGAAGATGGGTTGGAGTAGGTGTATTCTAGGTAGCTGTGGGAGTCGGTGGGCTTGAAATGGATATCGGTTTCTAGGTGGTTGCCAGAGTTGGAGACGGAGAGGTCCAGGAAGGAGAGAGAGGTATTAGAGATGGTCCAGGAAGGAGAGAGAGAACTCTCTGCTGTTTGGATTCAAACCTAGTACAAAGGAAGATGGTGTGGTTGTTGGAGATCGGTGATCTCAGCTCCAGGATATGACTACAGGAGTTCTTCAGGATTGTGTCCTAGATGAAGTTATGTTTGCCACTTCTGACCTTTTGATAATGTTCTCTGCTGTTGGCCATACATTTAACGCCATTTGTGAACCCTCCGATCTCGGAGTCGTCAGTATCCAAATGTCCTGGACAATATTAAGACAAGGCTTAAAAATTGCCAATGATATTTGTGCCACTCTCATGTCAGACATTCAAGTGAAGATCTGATTATAGTCCATCAGTGGCATTGCCATTGCAGTATGCTCTTCTACCAACATCCTGGGGTTACCATCAACACAAAGTTGAACTTGACTAGCCTTTTAATAAATACTGTGGATATAAGAACAGGTTAGACACTGCATTTTGTGGCAAGTAACTGATCACCTGACTCCGCAAAGCTTGCCATCTGTAAGTTCTCCTTCAAGTCCCAGACCATCCTGACTTGGAACTATATTACTGTTCTGTTAGAATGGCCGTGTCAAGATCAGGAGCTCCCTTCGTAACTAACAGGGTGTACCTACAATACATGCACTTCAGCAGCTCAAGAGTCTACTTGCTTCACTACTTTTTACAGGATAATAAGGAATAGACAAGAAACTCTGCAACACCCACATCCTGCAGATTAATTTTTTAAAAATTGACAAATGTGGTGAGGTAAGTGGAATGTTGGGGTACATAGCAGAATTATTTTAAGTCAATTGAAGATTATTCTGAAACAACAATGTCAAACCATATTTATAATATTTTTTGAATATTGAATTTGCTGCATCAACAAAAGTGCATTGGGATCGGTCCAGTGAAAGGGCAACAAAGAATAACTCCAATTTTCAAGGGAAAAATTGAAATAAGTGTGTGTTAAATAGTATAGTGACAAAGGTTACAGTGTATGTAGGAAGAGTATCGAGGTAAACATCGAAGTTGGACATAGAATACTGCATCAAAGAAAATTTAACTAGTAATATCAGAGAAGATAAACGTAATTAAAGTAATTTTAAAATTATTTTTAAATGGTCGAAAAGTGAAAACCATTTGGAATAATATGTTTATTTTTATTATTCGCCTCTAAAATGACTTATTAAAGATAATATGGAACAACAATTTGTTTAGTCGAACGTGCTATTGGATTCAGATGTTAGAGACATTTAAAATTCAGTTGCTTTCATTTAGATGAGTTTAAAATGTTCAAAGGCTGAGTTGTAATGGGTTGAATAAGCACTTCATGTCCTTGACTGGTTTGTACTTGTTGGGGAGTGAACCTCCTGCTACCTGTTTTTCTGTAGTTGATGTGTTGACATTTTGTAGCAGCCCGCACTACAATCACTAATTAAACAAAAATAGATCTCTAACTCATTCCCCTTTTGTGAAATTACATTGTACGCACTATAGGGTTATTTGGTCATTAGTATCTACCAATGTGCTAAAAGCAGCAGTTGTGCTGAATGAATGTATCCATTTTGTCATTTTAGAGAACAACTTCAAAAGGTGGTTGATCAGCTGAAGGCCAAGTTACAGGAAACTCATTGCAATTTACAAGTCAATGCGGGTGAGTTACAGGCTCTACAGTTGGAGCATGACCTGCTGCTGGAAAGGCATAACAAGATTCTCCAAGAAACTGTGTCCAAGGAGGCTGAGTTTCGAGAAAAGTATGTGGTTTTTGGTTTTTCAAGCACCTCAAACTGACAGTGCAGAAGATGGCCTTAATTGGTTATAAGTGCTATTAATCATTTTTTTAAAAACAATCTCTTGATGAATTAATTTGACTAACTTGAAGTTTATGCTGTAACATTTGTACTGTTACCACATGATATAATAAGTATCTAATTTTCTATTATGGTATTGCATCTTTTCTACACCCTATAAACCAGACGTTTTCTATTAGTATCATCCAGAGCAGAAATTCTGACAACATCCGTTCTTTAACCTAGAAAATAAATTGATGTTTTTGCACACTTGATAAGAGATGAATGTTACATATCTGATAAATCTGGAGTTGCAACATGGTAATCATTATGCAACTTAAGTACAGCAAGAGATGGTTTTAAACACTGAGATGCTGTTACTCAAGACTTTTAAGATGTTGATTAAAGTCTTTTTGTAAATAAAAATAGCTATTTTTCACAAACCAGTCAAGTTCACGTACATGTAAACTTGATGTAAATAAATTCGAGGTGACGCTGTCAATTTTGCGGTTCACAAAGCAAACATTCAGAAACAAAAACAGAAATTGCTGGAAATTCTCAGCCGGTCTGGTAGCATCTATGGAGAGAAATCAGAGCGTGATCCAAATTTCTGTTTTTGTTTCGGATTCCAGTATCTGCAGTTCTTTCAGATTTTTATTAAATGTTCAGAACTGCTTCATGAAACTAATTTTCAACCATTTTTTGACTTTGCCCATTCTATTCCACTGTAATTAAAATTCTAATAATCTTTGCATATGAATAGCCTGCTACTATTTGAAATACAATGGGTCATCTAATGGGTCAAAACCTCAACAATGTCTATTAAATACATCAGAAAATCACCAAGTAATTGTGTTACAGAAATATAATTTGAAAAATGAGATCTCATTGAGCAATTCGTATGTATTGTCATTGTTTACATGTAAGTGTACACATATGCAGAATGATTTCTGTTTGAGGCTAGTTAGTTCATTTCAATCCAGTTCATAAATTAAATTGTGATGCTTTGTTAATATTTTTACCCCTGTGAATTTTGTGCTGTTTGACTAATGCAATATCCACTCGCACAACAAATGACGTTACTAAACTCCAGATTTACAAACATATGACATATGGAATAAGAGCAGAGGTAGATTATCCAGTCATTCAAGCTTGCTCTGCCTTTCTGTAAGGTCACGACTGAAGTGTTTGTTTCAAATTCCATTATAAGTTTTGATTCCTTTCATAACAAAAATATCTACATCTGTCTTAAAAATAATATTATGACTCTGTCCCCACCATCTTTGAAGCAGAAGTTCCAACTGCTGACAGAAAAGAAGTTTCCTCATCTCTGTTTTAAAAGGTGACCCAAATTTTAAATCCGTGCCCTGAGTTCTGGACTCACCCACATGAAGCAACATTGTTTTCAATATCTTACAAATTTTTGTATTTCAATCAAGTCACCCCTTACTCTTCTAAATGCAACTGGAAACAAACCCAGCCTGTCCCATGTGTCCTCATGACAGAGCCCACTCGTTTTAGGTATAAATCAAATAAACCTCCTCTGAACTACCTCCAATGCATTTCACATCCTTCGTAAAATAAGGAGACCAAACTCCATTCAATTTTCACCAATGCCTTATATAACAGAGCATAACATCCTTACTTTTACTGAGCTGGTGCAGGTATGATGGGCTGATGGATGATGCACCGTAACACTTCTATGATATGTGATGTTGGTAAATCCAGGTTTGTTGAAATCCTCAATTCAATCAAGTATTTCAAAACTGAACTATTTAATAAAGACAGAAAACTGAGGGACATTGCCATTGATGTATATCTCCTAAAACCAGCTATGGAAGAAAGTGAGTATAAGCTAGCACAGTAATCTCTTATCTATTCATTTAATGCATGGGGGGAGTACAGCATGAAATGTTATAAGGAAGATTTAGGTAATGTTTTGCAATTGTACTGAGATGAAGTTATATTTTTAAACATTGCAGACTTTGTTGTGTACAGTCTGAAAATGTCTTGCTGAAATCACAGCATGCTCAGACTGTCAGCCAGATGACTGCCCAGAATGAAGCAGCACAAAAAAGCTTCCATGAGCAAATCCGGAACCTGCAAGAAGATCACAAAAAGACTGTTGAAATGTTACAGAAACAATTAACTAAAATGGAGGCGCAGATCTTCCAGCTTCAAACTGAAAGCAGTTCTGCAAGTAAGTCTCGATTATAGAACCTATAGAATAACCATCTGTCAGTGTGAGATTACATCATTATACAGGTATCATAAAGCAGACGTTGACCCCGCTTTGAGAACTGAAACTGGAACACCCAAAGAGGAACACCTCTCCCCATAATCTGCAAAAGGAGTGTGAAAAGTGGTGTAGCCTGCCTTTCAGCAACTTCTAGTGGTTAAATAAAACATACCCCTGACACTCACTTTACAATCAACAAGTAACAATTTATTTATCTAATTCTAGCACTGAGCAAATTAACTAAACTGTTAACAAACTGAATAAGCCCCTTCTAACAACTAATATTTCCAAATAAAACAAGATTCTAATGGTGAGCTATTCCAATAAAAAGAACTCACTTTAAAAAAAATAGAATTTTGTCTCTCAATTACAGCCATGTTACATGTCTTTTGGAATGCGCTGTTCCTTCTCCGTCAAATGTTCTTTCAGGAACGCCTTCTCCATCGATTCTTCTGTCAGGGATGTTAACTAGTTGTGCAGTTGGTACCTTTGATATTTAGATGGTGCTTTCTCTAAGACCCAGAGGAGACTGAGAGAGCCGGTGATTCTTTCTTGAGAGCTGTTAACTTTGGCAGATGGCCGTTAGCTCTCCTCTCTTTGTCCAACTGCCCTTTCCTTTATACCCTTGATGACATATCAATTTCTTAGAATAGGATTGTTCCTATGTTGTCAAAACCATCAGATTTAAATTTTATTGGTTTTTGGTATCTAAGTGCATGGTTCAAATTGATTGATTGGCTAAATTCAAAAACTTGTTGTCTCGGTAACAAAACAAAACTGCTGCTTGGCCTGCTAACTGTATGGCCTTTCGATACAAATGTTTCAATTCGGGTGCTCTCTGTACTTGCAAACTTTCAAGGTGCTGCTCACAGATATCCATTTAAATCTGTAAGCATGGAAAATGCACATCATTTATTAAAGGGACCATGCAGCACCAACCCCACACCTCCCCCCGCCACCTCAAGCATTTCACAAACACCAAATTCTAACTTCCTGACTCCCAATCCACAACCACTATCAACCAACTTTGCAACTTCTTGTGGCATAGTGGTGGGTCCCTCCCTCTCTGGGCTAGAATATCCAAGTCGACTTGCCCTAGAGGTGTAACATCACGTATCCAAACAGGTTGATTAAAATGACTATAATTTTAGATATATTTAGATACCATACCCTGATTTAAAGAGACCAACTTCTTGTTATTTAAAAATGGTTCTAATGTAAGAAATGCTTTATATTCTTCTTATCTGTAATTTATAAAGCACACTACAGATTTGTTATACAAGTTGTTAAAATGTTGTTAAATGTTGCAAATTAGATACAAACTGAAAATGCTGGAGACGCTCAACAGATCTGGCAGTATCTATGGAGAGAGAAATAAAGTCAATGTTTCAAGTCCAATATGACTTCAGAACAGTTCTGTAGTTCTGGCAAAGAATCATATTGGACTCGATGTTAAGTTGGTTTCTCTGTACACAAATGCTGCCAAACCTGCTGAATTTCTGCAGCACTTTGTGTTTCTTTCAGAATCTAGCATCTGCAGTATTTTGCCTTATTTTGTGTTACAAATCAGTTGTTTTTTATAAAGTTAATGGAAATATATTATGTGCCTCTTTCAGTTTACTGATGGTTGGAATTTAAATAGTGCGTTATTAGTTTTAAGAGCTTTTCTGAGCACTTTTCATTCATGGAATGTGGGCATTGCAGGATTAGCCAGCATTTATTGCCCATCATTTAGTTGCCCTTGAAATGGTGGTGAGCTGCCACCCACCTTGAACTGCTGCAGCCCACTTATTGTAGGTACCCACATTAGGTAGGGAATTCCAGGATTTTGTCCCAGTAACACTGAAGGAGTGGTAATTTGTCATAGTTTTTGCATGCATTTCAAGTTGATACTTCTGTGCCTCACGTTTTCCCATGAAGAGTCAAAATATTTCTCATTGCATTTATCTATTTCTTACAGAATCCTCTCTATTAGAGTATAATTAAATGTCAGCACTATACAGAGGACAGGAATGGGATGCTGAGATTGCATGATCAGCCATGATTGTATTGACTGGTGGTACAAGCTCAAAGAACCGAATGGCCGACTCTTCCTATTTTCTATGTTTCTATACCATCTATTTCAAATTGTGGTATTTGGGAGGTTCTATGTCTCTTTCTCTTTTTGATCTTATCTGCCATATGTTATGATCCCAGCTAAAGGTAACACTGGACAAGTCATCGCTAAGCAAAACCTGGCTTGACAGACCTTGGTTTCTCTTTTGTAATTTGGTTACCTTTGTAGTCAATCTATGAACATATTCACAAGAGGCTACCAATGTACGTTTAACAATAGAACATCAAAGTTTATTACACAAAAAGGGAAATTAGCAGAAAACTGAAATGAACAACTTATTTTTACATTATACAAGAATTATTTGAGATGGTCTTAGTACAAATATCAGCAATAAAGATTTAACCTTTTTTTTTCTCTTCAACAACTACCTTGCAGATACCCAAACCACAGTGAAGGGAGACCCTGTTTCCAGTCTAATGTTTTTTCTTCATTTGACACAGCTAGACTTGGTTTCTTTTTGGCAAAGCTAAGTCGCTCAATGCTAGCTGCTTCAGTTAATTTGTCTTCGTGAGGTTCTTAAACTGTTAATGCAACTCACTTATTACTTAACATATGTTTCTTAAACTCCTTTTCCATAGTCTTCTGTTTCTGGAACTTCTCAGGACTTTAATCTCCTGCCCTAGCTGTTCTGGAGAGTGTTAAACTGTACTGCTGTCCCTCTCTATTCTCTCTCCTTTTTTCTCTCTCTCTCTCGCTTTCTCTTTTATTTTCTCTCTCTCTGTCTCTGAGAAACCTTTCACACTAACACAATGTCACTGTTTCTGTATCCCTATGCTGTTGGACGCCTTGTCAACAAAACAATTATATTTTTTTCACTTCTATCCTTATTTTTCAAAGTGCTGAGCTATTTGCTTTAAGAGTGTCTTGAAAATCTCATCAAAATGTATGTAAATAAACTTCAGACAGCCCAACACAACTGAGTTCAAATTTAAATTAAAGCATCTTTCCTAACAAGCATAACATAGAAATGCAAATCAAATTTAAAGCTATAGCTTGCTCTGCCCATTCTAGAACTCAAATTTTCCAATAATAATATGTTGCAAACCTTTGTTTAAAAGTAGTAATATGATAACTGCAGATTGCGTAGCAACTGATCAGTTGGAAAACCTGATAATTCTTCTGGAAATGAGTTATCTAGTGGGGGAAAGGAAGGTTTGTGGGGAAGAAATGTTTATTATTTGAGTCAAAAGATCAAACAGTGGTAATAGTGTCAAATTTAGAAGAAATGTTGAGAAGATTGTACTGCATATGACGTAATTTAGTCCAGCTAGTCCATCTTGGCATTTTTGCTCCACACAGGCCTGCTCCCACTCTTCTTTACATAGCCAAATCCGTTCTCCTTTAGATGGTTGTGGTTTCCCCTGAAAGGCATCTGTGCTTTATTCCTATAATAGTCTTTGACTAAATGGAATAGTATAGTGTAGTGGTATAAAGTTGAGGTGAGAGTAACTATCTCATCAGCCTAGCATTTAACCAAGTGTAAGATTAAGGGGAAGGAGGAAAATTGAAGTCAATGGATATCAAGGGAAAAACACCTTGCTGGATGGAATATTGTAGCAAAATAGTGGTTGGAAATCAATCATCTAAGCTTGTGGACATTGTGCAGAAATTCCTCTGGGCAGTGTCCTGGGTCCACTCAGCTTCAGATACTTCATCAATGGTCTTCTCTCCCTCATAATGAGAATGTTCACAAATAAATCTTCTGAAATAGGCATATTCACTAATGACTACCTAGTATTCAGAATCATTCATAACTCCTCAGGTACTGAACCAGTCCATGTTCAAATGTAGCAAAACCTTGTCAACAGGCTTGGGCTGACAAGTGACAATTAACATTTGTGCCAGAGGTGCCTGGCAAGACTCTTTCCTATGAGATAATTGAACTATTGCCCCTTGATGTTCGATGGAATTGCCATGGCTGAGTTCCCACTATTAGTGTCCTGGGGTTAATCATTGATTGAAATTTAACTAGAGCAGTGATATAAATGCTGTGATTGCAAAAGCAGGTCAGAGGCTAGGAATTCTATGGTGAGTTACTCACCACCTGATTCCTATTAGACTTTCCACCACCTGCAAGGTATAATTTAGGAGTATGATGGAATACTGTCCACTTGCTTGATGGATATTACTCCAACAGTACTTAAAGCTCAAGACCCGCCAGGACAAAGCTATCTGCTTGATTGGTATGCTGTTCTTCTCCTTCAACATACATTCCATTCAGCATTGATGCACTGTGACGGCAGAGTGTACCACCTATAAGATACACTGCTGTCACTCACCAAGGCTCCTTTGACAGCAGCTTTGAAAGCTGCATCCTCGAACACAGGGAAAAGTGCAGCAGGTACTTGGGAACTCCACAACCTGCAAATTGCCCTCCAAGCCCCACACCATCCTGACTTGGAACTATACCACCGTTCTTCCATTGTCTTTGGATCAAAATCATGGAATGCCCTTCCTAACAACAGTGTGCATATCTACACAATCCAAGGACAGCAGTAGTCGAAGAATACAGCTCAATATCACATTTTCGAGGGCTGTTGGGGATGGGCAGTAAATACTGATCTCGCCGCAACACCCCCATCCCATGAATGAACAAAAAAATGCCCTCTCCAGTTTTGTAATTAGACTTTGTAAGCGCTGCAGTGGTTCAGAAGCCAGCTCAACACTAGCTTCATGAGGAGATATTAAAATGACACTATGCAATGTCCAGATCCTGCAAATAAATCTTAGAAGTACCATCAGGAAAACAATGTGTAGTGATAGGTATTTAATATATAAATTCCTATAAATGAGAACATTTACTCCATTGTTGATGTAGGTTATGATTTTAAAAAACTATTGTATTTTGAATAATATGCCTCTTTGCAAGAGTGTATGAATAATTCTGATCAAAGCCTTTACAATGTCACCCTACACATCATGCATGAATTTCTATAATATCTATTTAGTGTTAGAGCGACAGTTCATCACCATGAGGACGTCTTATTTTTGTTTGTTTTTTTTTAAATTGTCTAAGACTCTGCACAACTTGAGCCATCTGGGAAGATTCCACGTGACCGAAGAAACTTGGACATATCTGTGATAGATATCAATTCCATTGACCGTGGAGAAGGAGAAGGAATGGAGATGACTGAAACAGAATCGGTATCTTCTTCCAATACCCAAGTTGCCTCTCTTGAGCAATTACTTACCTCCCCGGAGGCAGCATTAGGTTGGTTGACAGTTTTAAATTCACAACAGACTTAGAATGTCAGTTAATTTGTCTGATATGGAAATTTAACAAATATATTTGTAAGGCAAGAAAGTTAATTGGTGTTTTCTTCCTTGGTAATTATTTTAAGAAGACTACTACTTTTTTTTTCATGTTACAAATAAGGGCATTTATCCTGAAAAAGTGGTAAGTCTTTTTTAAATCTTAAGAATTGCTATTCCATGTGTTCATAAACATTGCTATAAAATGTATTTAGATCTTAAAGTGCCTACTAAATCTGTCTGAATGGGTATTCTTTGTGTATTGAAACTGACAAAGAAAATCTTGTAAAATAACATTTTCCCAACAAGGAAAGGCAGACCTGAGGATGAACCATTTAGGACCCCATTTCTATATTTTGTAAAGTTTTGGTTGAGAACAGTATTGTTATATCTAGAAACACACCAGCTGCTTTTCCCCTTAGTCAATATTGATGGATTAGTTATGGAGGGAAGGAATTTGGGAAAAGATCAAGATTGCAAATTTAAAATATCTGCTGGTCCAGGAGTTAAAAAAAAAACCTAGGGAAGCTACTTTTGATTTCCTCTTATAGAAAAAGGCATAAGAAAAGCAACCAAAATTCTTCTACACCTAAGTTAACCGGAGAACTGTTCTCCCTATTCCATTGATTATTTGCAGATGTTGCACAATGGCAGCCAGAGCCAACCAAAGAAGAAATAACACAGAAATTAAATACAGCTACAAAGAGTATTGACCATTTAAATGGGCTCTTGCGTGAGACTGAAGCTACTAATGCCATCCTTATGGAACAAATCACAGTAGGTACACACACAGTGGGATGGAACACCTAATTAAGTATTGCCAGATCTATTTATTTTCAGGAATTTCTTCATGGAATATAATAAAGTGTGCTTCGTCGTTCTTTAGTTAATCTGACTCTTGTTAGATGTTATCTTCCTTGATATCAGGGGAGAGAATCATATGCAAATTAGTTGACTTATAGGATTATGTAGTAAAATATGTAGTCCTGTCTTGTTAAAGTTGTTCAAACCTAAGAATTGTAGCCTGTTACAACAGACATTTCCTGATGTATGTCAAAAGAGCAGTTAAGAGTACGGTAGGTCATCTGCAATTTTTTTTAACCATTCCTTACTGGGTGTTATAGACATCTCTCTCTGTTCACTGAAATTCTGTGTCTTATTTTCCTCCCTCCATTCAGTTTTGATGATGTCACCTATTCTGTCCTTCTCTAGTATATGCTTCTTTCTGATCTTGTGTCCTACCTTGATATACAGGTTACAAAGTGTTCTTTTCCCCAAATAGCTGCTGAAGAATGAAGTGAGAAGACTAGAGAGAAACCAGGAACGTGAAAAGTCTATTGCAAACCTGGAGTATTTGAAGAATGTTATGTTGAAGTTCATATTCCTAAATGCAGGTAGTGAGAAGCAAAGCCTTCTCCCAGTAATTGATACAATGTTACAACTGAGCCCAGAGGAGCGAAGCAAGCTGTCTGCTATAGCTCAAGGTAAAATTTGAAATTTAAAACTTGAGCATGGACTGTTGTTCTCTAATTGAGGGCTCCAATCAGCTGGTGAGCAATTCTTGAACACTAAATCAGTGGTTTCCAAACTGTTGTATTTGTAATGCCTCTACAAATGTTAGCCTAGTGGGTCTTGTCTAGTGGTAGCCAGAAGACGTGTTCAAATCTGACCTGCCTAGGTGTGTCATAAAATGTCTGAACAGGTTGATTTAAAAAAAAGTATACAGATTTTGGCCTGGATTTCAGTGACAGACTTTGTTCAATACATACATGTGCTAAGACTTGCTATAGATTTTTGTAATAGAACTTAGAGTTTGTAAACTGCTATCTACAATGGATGCAGTTGCTGTGTAACCAGCACAAGCAAAGTTATGTTACCTTAGCCACTCCGTAATGTTATCTCATAATCCTACAAATTAGTGAATTTCAACTACATGCCCAATTGCCATTTGAAAATTCCTATAGAATCTGATTTCACCACCCTTCCACTCCATGTTACAGCCCTCCATATAAACCTCCATATAAAAATGTTTTCCTTTCCCTTTACTCTTTATGAGTTATTTTAAACTGTGATCTTGGGTTATTGACCCACAGCCTCTTATTGGGTTGGGTTTTGAAGTCCGCTGTCTTTAGTGAAAAAAAAGTGCCATCGTCATATGTTGCACTTGCAGTTGCCCACAAATTTTCAATGGGGTTTTACACTTGAATTTGCAGCTATTAGAAGATTGTTTGTGTGCAGGGCCCTCTACTAGAGATCATGGAACTGTGTGAACATCACAAGCAACTGTGTATCTCCTTCACCAATCAGATTGAAGATTTGTTACTGAGTGCTGCAAAGTCAAAATTGGGGAGTATAAGCGTGGTGAATTCAACATAACAACCACGTTTTTAAAAAAAAAGGGAAGAAAAATACATTTTGAGATGGAGGGGGGAATACAAAATAATAAATGTAAGAAAATTAAATTTATTGTTTTTTAAATCTACAAGATTGTTTACAAACCTGAGGGAATGGAACACCATACTTATGAAAGTTCATTTATTCAGTGCCAGAGCCTATCTGTCAATAATCAAGACTAATTATGGTAAAGTACACAAAGATTGAATGGCCTGTTTAGTGACCAGGCACCACAACTACACAGGCTTCCTTGTATTTCAATAGCAACTCTTTCACAAGATAGTTTATTGAAGCTACAGGGGGAGCAGGGCAACATAGACAGCAATTTTGATTTGCATGTTTGACAGCATGAGTGTCGTTGCCCAATGTTAATTGATTTACTTTTATTGTTTGAAAACTAATGCCCTTGCTGATGTTTATACTGCAGAATCTAGACCATTGGCACACCACTGTCCAGGCAAATAATGTCAACTATTGCAAATGTTGTTCAGAAATCTGTTTTTATTATTTGTATAGTATAGAAGGAACATACAAATAAGGCACAAATGCAGAAATTTCATCATCCAGGCTCCCTTCGCAGACTCACTAAGTTTCAATTTACCAGATAATAACTTAAAGAAGGCTGCCTTACAGCAAAGTAAGCAACATACTGTGTGCTTGGACTGGAGAAAAAAGGTTCACACTTGTCTCCTGCAAAGAGAATTCTCAGTCTGTCAGAGGTGTTTTTCTCCAAATGAAAAGCAAATTGGCTTGTATTTCCCTCATCCACTGGCATCAAGATAGAAGTTGTTCATGGGAGATTTTGGTCATTAGTGCAACCGATTTGACAGGGAAAAACTAAAATTAAAATTTTACATTTTTATTTCAAATGTGTATATCAGTAAATATTTTCCAATTTTGTTGCTTGCTCATTGCCTTTCTGAAGTGCTGCCAATGACGATGAAGCATCAAACAGGTACCAGGTGTTTGCCCAAAAGTGTTTAGTGTGAGGCCAGGTTGAAAGTCCTTTTGAGTCCTACTTCTATCTCTAGTTGTGCAGTTTCAATCAGCCAGTATTAAAACATCAATGGTGGTTTACAAATGTGTTGCTCGCTTGACAAACCAATGATTTTACATGACATGGGGAGATGCACAAAGTGCAGTTTTTCTTGTTGAACAAAACAATACAATGTGAAAGTTGTGTAATTTGCATAGTTTCCACCTCCAAATTTTAAGTTATTATAATAAAGTCCACTTATTTAGTTTTGTTTTTTTTTTAGGAGAAGACGAAAGCACTTCACGGTCATCAGGTTGGGCTTCGTATTTTCACAACTGGTCTGGACTGTGATAAAAATTGATGGGGCAAAATGTTTACGTTTCATTCCAGCCGTTGTGTAAAGAGAAGATGGTTGTTGAATTTATGAAGAGGAAAACTGCCTTATGACGAACTTCTTCTCGAGCCATTTGTTTAGTGTTTCTTATTTGGTTTGTAAGTTCATTGTACATTTGTTGTTTTGTGCATTCACTTTTTTTCATTCTTCTAAATTTTACAATACTCTTAGGAAGAACTGCAACTGGAAAGTAAAATGTCGAAGTAACCTGCACAGAATGTTTATTGATCTTTAAATTTAAAGTAAATTTGTAATTAGCTTTATTCCAATAATGTGAAAGCGATGTTAGCATTCAGCTGATGATACTAAACATGATATACTCATTTATTTTGTGTATTATTGTAAAAGGGTCTACAGTTGTTTGGTGTTTTCTAATGTATAATGAACTTATGGAAGCGATAATTTAGATATAGCAAGAACTATTCAACTAAAGTCATGATCTCTGGAACTAAATATTTTAACATATTTAAAAACTGGATGGAGTGTAGAATATATTTATATTCAAAATTCAGAGTTTATTGATGCTGTACATACTTAAAACTTTCAAATTTAGGTTTAGGCACTATACAGATGCATGGAAGCCTATGAATCCAGTAACGCTGGAATTCTAGATATCACATAAAGATCCTTAGCAAATCAGTCGTGTTTATTGGGATCAGCAGTATGTTTAAATTTATTTAACTTTGCTGAGCAAATAGTAATCTCTGCAGAACAAATCAATAGCAAAAATAAACCGTGTTGAAGAATGTCGAGAAATTGAAGTGATGCACCTGAAAGATTGAAGGATTTGAACACACTTAGTAAAGGTGAAATTGATTTATGGAACCTTGAATAATGAATAATTTTTTAAACAAATTACGTGATTTTCTTTCAGCATTATATGTGAATTATAGTGTATTGAGTTTTTCAATCAAGGGATCAAAATAATTATTTCACATGTACCATGTACGTGCACTTTATTCCTTTATGTTTTCTGGAAATATACCTCCATGTTGAGATATGATGATTCTTCTGTAAATTTTTATTGTTTTTTTTAATCTTTGGATACAAAGCCTTTCTGTTTCTGCCTCAATCCCTTTCTCAGATTTCTATTAGCCATTCACTAACAGTGACCAAAAAGCTATTTGTTCAGTTTGCTGCCTGCCATCCTCAATACTACAGGACTAGAAACTGTGTGAGAGTGGTGAGATGATGGATCCCCTGATGATTTCCTTTTCCTTCCCGAGAATAAAACTACAATATTCCCTAGTTAAATAATTTTTCATGTCTGATGTGCTACTTTTATTGTGACATTATACGCTTGCAGTTTATTACCAATCATCTAATACTTTGTGATGAGCCCCTGATGACCTTCCGCTGCAGTAGGGAAAGGGCATCTATTTAATGTACAAAATAATAAACATGAAGATTAATCTCCAGGATCTTTTGTTGCTTATGCAGGCTTGTAAGTAGATTTTTCATCTGTAGTCGGCATCCATATTTTATGTTTATTACCATTAAGCAATCTCTCAGCTGTAATTCATTATTGACTATTGGGTTCTCTAATAAAACAATATTTCTATTCTAATATACCAATATTTTTGTTATGTAGATATTTTGTGGAATGTTAGAACTGGATCACATTTTAGCATTGTAACATCAATAGTGTTGAATGTTTTAGCTATTTTCTCCATGAAGTAATCTGTATTTACAATCTGAGATTATTGAAAACCTGCTCCATTCTCACGACAACATGGTCCTTGAAAACCAACCATTGTGAATTTTCAGAGTGTTGCGCATAGCAAGAGAAATTCCTAGGGCTGAAGTAAGTTTGCTTTAAAATAAAGATATCACCTACATTATATACTTAAGATAAATTTATGTATAAAGGATGCATTTAATAGAAGAGTACTTGGGAATGGAAATATTGAAGCCTGTTTGACAATGTAGATTTAAATTAAATGTTTATTGATAAATTTAAGTGGCAACGTGTTTACAGTTTGCTACTTTGCTGCTACTAAAGAATGCTGTAATAGATGAATCAGCATGTAACACTGCAATTTAAGCAAACTGAGATAATAGCCTGTGTAGATTTTGGTGCTCACTACAGTCCCTTTTCATGAGGGTAGTTTCTCTTTACACTTTAATAATACTTTCTGCTGTATTTCCCTTTCAAGATTTTGGTCTCTTTTCCCACCAGACTGATTTGCTAATCAGAAAACTGAAACTGAATAACTTCATTAATGACTATCTTTTAACTTTGTTCTTTGGAATGGCTTTCCAGCAAATTGTTTAAACATGAAACTGACCTTTCAATTTGTTTGTAATTGCCATATTATAAATTCACTGCAGTCTTGTTTAATGCTATAACATTTTCATGTTTTAGCATTTTGTCTTGTATTAATTTTAAATGAATGCTATTGTATGATCAATCCTCACCCCTGCTCCCATGCATTAAGCTATCTGGTGGAATTGCTGTCACCATCCTCTTTTCTGGTAAGCATTTATGGTGCCTGTTTCATAGAGTCATAGAGCTTTACAACACGGAAAGAGGCCCTTCTGCCCAATCATCAAGCACCCATCTACTTTGAATCCTATTCTCCAGCTGTTGGCCCATTGTCTTATATGCTATTCTGTTTCAAGTGTTCATCTAAATGCTGTTAGGATCTTGAGAGTTCCTGCCTTTACTGCTCTTTCAGGCAGTAAACAGCAGATGATAGCCCTACCCTCTGGTGAAAAGAATTTCTTCAAATTCTCCTGACCCTTACTTTAAACCTATCTCCCCAAAAATCTGCTCTACATGAGATTTGAGCAGAACACCTCTCATTTCACATGCCCCATATTGTTATGTACCATCCATGTACTGACCAGCCTTGCCGTGAGAGCTAAATTAAAAGAAAACAGCACTACAGTTTCATCTGGTGTGGCAGAGAAAGACCACCTGGTAGTCTGAGGATGTTGCCTTAAAACAAGATGTAAATAGCTGCTACCATGCAATAGATTCCAAGTTAACGTGATAGTCTCTGTAGCTTTGTGCTGCAATTTTCAAGGAGTTGCAATTTCTCACTTTGCTACTTTTTTTTTTGCACGACAAAAGAGCTCCGCATTTCTGACAGGAGATTCTGATCAGAGTTCCTTCAGAACTGTGCAGCCATACTTCATGTCAACAGTTCCCTCATTTTGCAGAACTGTTTGAGGAAGGCAAACCACACCCTTTTCACAGCAGTCAGTTGCTGTGTTCTGAAATCCATAGGTCCAGAACTGCAGATCGACGTTTTGACAGCTGCTGTCTAAAGGTAAAATGTGTAAGTTAAGCGAGATGTTAGGATGCTGGCTCAACGAGGTGCCAGATGCCTAGGGTGCTGCATGGGTAAAGCTGTGTGTCAAATGGGTAGGGTGCAAGGTGACAAGGTGTATTTTATGTTTAGGTTGGGACGGATGGTTGGGAGATGATGGGGGAAGGATTCCTGGGTCATGAGGGTGCAGAGGGGGTTATGGTCGTCCAATGGATATACACTTAACTTGTCTGTTTTGTTATGTCTCTCGATTAGTATGCAGTATCACTTTAACAAAACCAGAATTTACAGTTTAAGGATACAGAATAGGCCATTTTCAAATGAAATGAGGAGAAACTTCCTCCCCCAGAGTGGTGAGCTTGTGGAATTCTTTACTACAGAGAGCAGTTGGGGTCAAAACATTCAATGTTTTCATGAAGGACTTTGATCCCTTTAACCCTAAGAACTATGTATAAAGATACGGAAATAAAGTGGGAGCAGGATACTGAGGTTGGATGATCAGCCATGAATGGCAGAACAGGCTTGAAGTGCTGAATGGCCTACTCCTACTTTCTATGATCCAACATTTCCACGTAAAGGGGTGTCAGGTTTGGAGTGGATTAAGGTTGGGGTCAGTTTTCGAAATGGGGATGAGTGGCAGGATGGGTCTCTTGCACAATGGGGGCTGTCTGGTCTGGTGGTGAAGGGGTAATAGTTACTCAGGAGTTAGGTTATGTATTTGATAGACTAACTTATCCTGAGCACCTCTTTGCTTAACTGTAGCAGATCTCTCCGACTTCTTCTTTAATTTTAAATCTCGAAGGGTCACAAGCAAAAGGAAATTGCCCAAGAGAATCTTCAGCTTCCTGGGCAGTTCTGCTCCAATGGGAATTTTGCAGGATCCCTATGTGCAACTCCAATCTATACTTTAGAAATTATCTGGCCATTGGCAAATTCGGACCAGTGTCTATGGGGAAGATATAGGTAAAAGGTCTTACTACTTCAAGACCCTGAACTGGTTTCTCACCAAATCTGACATATTCATCAGTGGGTGCTAATTATAAATCACTCTTCAGTATTAACCCTTTCAGACCCTACACCCCATACAATATATGTTGCCTGTAATTTCAAATACTATAACAAGCTGAATATTCAAGTCTAAAATCCACGTCTTAAAAACAAAAATGATGTGTCTTAATTAAGTGGATGGTTGCTGATTGGTTGCTGATTGGTTAACAAGTCCAAAGAGGAAAAAGATGGTCTAAAAGAAGGATTTCAGTTTGAGGGAAGACAGAATTTATTAAAACAAGGCAGGATCTGAGGATCAGGCCAAAGTAGAATGGGAACAGCTACTTGAGAGTAAATCTACAGCAGAAAAGTGGGAAATGTTCAAGAAGAATTGGGGAGAGTACAGGCCCAAGGAGCAACAAGACCAGAGAACCCTGGGTGTCTAGAAATATTCAAACTGGATGAAAAGGAAACGTGAGGCGTGTAGCAGGGACAAAGGGAGCATATCAACTATGGGCCCTAGTGGAGTACAGAATGTGCAGAGGGATCTTAAGAAAACAATTGGAAGGGCAAAGAAGAGGCAAGATTAGAGAAAATCTCAAAATATTCTACTAATATATCAAGGGGAAAAGAATAACCAGGGAAGAGTAGGGCCTATCAGGGGCAAAGGTGGAAATGTGTGTGTGGAACTGGAGGATATTGGTAGAATGTTCACCTTTTTCACATCTCCCTCTCTTGGGAGAAGGAAGATGGACTGAGAGGTTTTTGAGCAGATTGATTATGGGGAATGAGGAGGTTTTAGAGGGTGTAGAAGTAGATAAGCATAAGGTCCAGAGGAGTTCTATTCCAGGCTGCTGTGGGAGACATGGCAGGAAATCACTAGGCCCTGACCTGACCCAGTTTTTAATTCATCCCTTGCCACAGGAGATGGCTAGTATGGAACCACTTTTCAAGAAGGATGAGACACAAGTGAGGGACTTAGAGAGCAGCGAGTGCCTCATCAGCAGTAGGAAAACTTTTGGAGAAAATTCTGAAGGAGAGACTTAATGTCCATATAGACAGGCAAGATTTGATCAGTGATAGCATAGCTTTATCAGAGGGAGATTGTGCCTAACAAATTTAATTGAATTTTTTTGAGGGGTGACTAAATGTAGAGAGGAATGTTGTTCATGTGATGTAAGTTATGGATTTCAGCAAAACTTTTGACCAGGTGCCACATGGGACTCATAAAGAAGGTAAAAGCACATCAGATCCAGGGTAACTTGACAAATTGGCTTAGTGGCAGGGGACAAAGTTGTCATATAAAGGCTGTTTGTCTGACTGGATGCCAGTGACCAGTGGATTACAACAGGGATTAGTACTTGGTCCTTTGTTCCTGAAACATATTGATAATGTAGATAAGCAAGGGTGGAAGGAAGGAGTTAAGACGATGTGTGAGTTTGAGGATGACATGAATATTGACTGGGTGGTTGACAGTGAGGGAAAAAAATCCTTGGTTACAGGAACGTCTAAACAGGTTGGTCAGATGGAATTTAATCCTGGTAAGTGTGAGGTGCTACACTTTGGAAGAAGTAACAAGACTGAGTACTCGATGAATGATAGCATCCTAAGGTTCTGAGAAGGATTTTGGGGTATTCGTGCACAAATTTCTGAAGGTGGCAGAGTCAATGCAGCGTGGAGCTGGAAGAACACAGCAGGTCAGGCAGCATCAGAGGAACAGGAAAGTTCCTGTGGGTTCAGCAGGGTCCCGACCCAAAATGTCGACTTTCCTTTTCCTCTGATGCTGCCTGACCTGCTATGTTCCTCCAGCTCCACACTGCATTGACTCTGTTTCCAGCATCTGCAGGTCTTGCTATCTGTCAAGGTGGCAGAGCAGGTTAATAGGATAGTTAGTAAGATATGTGGGATGCTTGCCTTTATCAGTTGAGACATTTTATAAAGGTGGAGAGGTTACGTTGGACCTATACAGAACTTTGTTTAGGCCACAGATACTGTTTGCAGTTCAGGTCACCACACTATAGGAAGGATGTGATTTGCACTGGAGGGGTGCAAAGGATATTTACTAAAGTGTTGTCTCGGATGGACTGTTTGAGCTGTCAAGAGGGTGGTAAAGCTCAAGTCTTTTTTGGAGCAGAGAAGGTTGGGCTGGGGGGAGTCTAAGATTGAGGTGCATTGACAGGTTCGATAGAAAGCAGCTGTTCTTAATTGAAGAGTCAGTAACAAGGGGAACCGTTTTAAGGTGCAAGGCAGTAGGTGTATAAGGGATTTAATAAAACATGTTTCACTCAGATTGGTGGAAGTCTGGAATGTACT